CAACACAAGCGGATACGGCGGCACAGCGATGTCCAACGAGGCACTCGCCAGGGGGACTGGGGGGGGGGGCAAGAAGCCTGGTGTAGGAGGCGCACATGGCTTCTGGGACGGGCGATGAGGCCACTCTGCGATCGTTCGCGCCGCCGTCGCTACATGCAGGCCGGCTTTTTTCTGATTTCCGGCCGAACCTTGGCAAATTTGTTGTATCATTAGTTTCAATTTTAGATTTCCGGAAAAGGGAGAGACAGGGAATCCTACTTGACATGTCCATTCCACAGGCTTTGCCAGGCCCTACCAGAACCCTGCAGCTGCTGAATATAACGGACGTGCATGGCATATAGCAAAATCTCCAGCCAGCGGCCCCTGAGGAATTGCCCTCAGCGCCGTCAGGAGAGGCAGCAGACGACAGGGGCACAGGCGGCGGCGAAGAGAGCGCGCTGCAGGTGGTGAGAAGAAGGGATAATCAGGCCACAAAAGGCCCGCGTCACTGCGCCTTTAAGAAAGCCAAACATTTTGTGGCGTTAATGTCTTAAAGCAGAGGAACGAGAGCCTGGTCCGCCTGTTCCTCGCCTGCCCGGGCAGGGCGCGGTGCCCATGCCCATTCTCGACTAAAAGTACTGCGTCGGCGCAAATGGACTTTAGCTTCCACTGTCTACTCTCTCCTTATCTATCTACCTCCTACTCCTCCTATCTCCCTCTACCTACCTCTTCCTTCCTCCCTCCATTCCCGCCACTCTCCCTCACTTTCTATCTCGACCTCACCCTTACCCTCATCCGTCCCTTTTTCTTCCCTTTCTCACTCTCATTTTACCTGACCCATTTCACTTTCTCTTTCCATCTCCTCTCCCACTTACGCCCCCCCCCCTCTCTCTCCCTCTCTCCCTCCCTCTCTCTCTCTCTCTCTCTCTCTCTCTCTCTCTCTCTCTCTCTCTCTCTCTCTCTCTCTCTCTCTCATTTCCTCGTTCCCTCGCCCAACTGATCTCCATCTTTGATTTCAGTCGAGGCTGTCTGCCAGCGGTACGTCATCTTGATAAGGCAACAGGGACTTCGTTACTGATAACACATGCGATAAAATTAAGGGCGAGAGAAGGAAGTGCAGGAACAAGAGGAAGAAGACAAGAAGTAAACGGAAGAGGAGGGGGAGGGGGAGGGGGGAAGAGGAGGGGGAGGGGGAGGAGGGGGAGGGGGAAGAGGAGGAGGAGGAGGGGGAGGAGGGGGAAGAGGAGTAGGAGTAGGAGGAGGAGGAGGTGGTGGAGGGTGTGGAGAAGGAAAGAAAAAAAAAAGAAAAAAGAAAAAGAAAAAGAAAAAGAGACAGATGAGGAAGGAGGAGGAGGAGGAGGAACCAAAGAAACGGGACCAGGGAATTACACCGAGACGCGACCCAAAGAAAATAAAAGAAGGAAAAGAACCGAGACGACCCCCCCCCCCAAAAAAAAAAAAAAAAAAAAAAATCTCCCCAAAAGACAAACTGAGGGAAAAAAAAACAAAGGAAACCGAAAAATGGGATGAGCATGACCGCTAACAATGAACGTTGGAAGGCGAAGAAGGAAAAGGGAAATAGGAGTAAAGAAAATGGAAGTAAAAGGAGGAACATAAGAAAGGGGAAAAGCGAGGGAGCAAATGTAAAGATGGACAGACAGGGGAGGGGGAAACGGGAATAAAACAAATAAGTTAATAAACAAATGAATGTAATAACAAATACTAATGATAATTAAGTAGAAAAGAGGGAATTGAATAAAAAAGGGAAATAAAAAAGAAAACGAAGATACAGATAATACAAGATAACAGGAAGACACAGAATCATAATAATATAATAAGAAAAGCGATATCTGAAAAAAAATACGCGAAAGTACACATACACACACACATACATACATACATACATACACACACACACACACACAATACAATAAGAAACTGCAGGAAAATCAGGGGAGGAAATAGCAGGGAAAGAAGAAAGGAAGTGGGGGAAGAGGAGGATAAAAGACCGGAAGGTGGAGGCGGCAGACGGGGAAGAGGGAAGCCTACGAAAGGAAGGAGGCAACGAGAAAGCAGGGAGGAAGAGTGGGAGGGAGGAAGAGTGGGATGGAGGGGGGAAGAGTGGGAGGGAGGAAGGGAAGGAAGGAGGAGGGAGGAGGGAGGGAGGGAAGGAGGGAGGGGGGCAGGGAGGAAGAGAGAGAGAGGGAAGGAGGGACTGAGGGAGAGAAGGGAGTGAGGAAGGCGGAAGGAAGGAAGGAAGGAACGATAGACGGTAGGGAGCGAGAAAGGGAGGGGTGGGGAGGGGAATGGAGGGAAAGAGGAAGCGAGAGAAAGATGGGTGGAGGGAGAGAGAGAGAGAGAGAGAGAGAGAGAGAGAGAGAGAGAGAGAGAGAGAGAGAGAGAGAGAGAGAGAGAGAGAGAGAGAGAGAGAGAGAGAGAGAGAGAGGAGATAGATAGATAGAGAGAGAGGGGGGGTTAGGGAGAGAGAGAGAGGGGGAGATATAGATAGATAGATAGATAG